CCTCTTCATAGTTGATTTAATACTTCTAATAGTTAAATTTTTCATACATTTCAGATAAATTTACCGATTGAATTTTTCACACTGTTTAGCAAATTTTTGCGCTCTATTGAGGGAATGACTTTTGAGGACAGGAAAAGAAGCATGCTTATCAACATTTCTTCTTCCATCCTTCTTTTTTACCTTATCACTTTTGAGTTTGTAATTGCAGCAGCCCTAATAACAGACTGGAAGTGTGAAGCCTTTGCAGCTTTTAAGTCTGGTTTTTATAATCTACATCGGATTATATCTGGTTTGAGTGCAGATTTTGCTTAAATCTGCACCGTGATCCCTGAAAGCAGAGTAAACAACAGTCGGCTCTTCCAAATTTCTCTTCCCTCCTTCCGTCCCCAATTCCATGTTAAAATCGCATTTTTCAGGAAATTCCATATTAATTTTTGCAAAGTTCTTTGCAGTTTTATTAATCTCACCCGACCTATTTTCTTCATTCTGTATAGGCCATTTACGATGAGCTGGCCCGAATAAAATTAAGGAATGCCGTGTGCCGCGCCAGCAGGGTCGCCTTTTTCATCCAGACCGAGCTGAAGATCGCGCAAGGCAGCAAGGCCCATTTTTTTCTCCATTCGTTTTTTCCCCCATAATGCGTTTTTTTGTGTAATTTTTTTTTCATGCATAGCTGCTTGTTACTGCGCTACCAACAACTGGCTGAGCTAATATTAGTTCATAGCAGATGAGCTTAGCTGGAAAGACCCGGCGCAGTATTTTTCTTGACATGCTTAAAGCGGCTAGTGATGTATCTCGTGGTGCCTCGACAATGTCTATTTCACAGCGATGAGGTGCCTGAGTCGGAATTTTACGGGAGAAAAACAAATTATCGAATTTCATGGCAGTTGAGTTTCACTAAAATTGCTTCATTTTGCGATGGCTTAAAATTTAGCATAATATCCGTACGAAGTTGCATCATTCTGACGAAAGTGAATGGTGCCCATCGTCGCGTAGGCAGGCTATGACATAGTTGTGTTACTATGCCTGTGCTAGTGTCTCTGTTGTCAACTAGCCAGCTGAAGCGGCGAGCGCCTGTCTTGTTCTTTTTCTAAGAGAGCCTATTTAATTTTCATGCTTTTTCTAGCGTTCCATGTCTTTTTTTTAATAGCAAATTTTTTATTTATGCAAATTTTCTCTCGTGGTAATTTTATATAAATTCATTATTTTCGGTGCAAAATTTTTTTCCAGAATCCCATGTTAATTTTACTTTTGATTTTAAACAGTGAATTGTCAAATTTTTCGAATTACCTCTTATTTTTTAAGAAATTTAAGGAAATTATTTTTGAGGATCTTCACTTCTTGAGTTTTTTTCTCAGTTTTTTTGTTCAAAAATATGATGTGAGATTTTTCTTCATTCGAAAATTTCCTATCAGATTTTCTTTTTTATGCGAAAATACGTCATTTTTCCTAAATCAATTTATTTTCCAAAATTATGAATTTTAACTAAATTGTTATTCCCATTTTCGATAACTATGACAATTTTATCAATGTATTAATATGATTTTTTTTCGTTTTTAGCGATCTAAGGACTAAAATTAATAAAATTTTATTGATATAATTTTTCGTTTTTGATGATTTCTTTTTCCAGCAAATCTAAAATAATGTGTTATTTTTCCAGAAAAAATGACGTGACATTTCTTTTGTGCTCCTTCTGCGAAATATAAATATATATCATATTTTATGTGCTTTTTGTTATGTCATGTTTCTTTTTTTAATGAAAAATTTCAATCAGTGTGATTAAAGTGCTCGGCTTAGTTGCGCCTGTCGTGTGGGAGCATCCCAGAGATATCGCTAACAAACGATACTCACACTGATAGCCCGGTTTATTTTACTAGTTTTGGTGTTAACGTGGAATTTCGTGCAAAAAAATTTCATTCTTGTAGTTTTTTAAAATTTTTAAAAAATCTCTAAAAGTTCCTACAATGGAGTTTAAAAGGCGTTGGTTTTTATGACCATACAAAACTTCCTGATAGCATTATTTTTCTGGAGTTATAATCGCGTGGACGGTGGTGGTTTAATGTAACCGTAAAGGTGGCATCGCTCGGATTGCAAGCGAGGGCGTTCGAGTTTTTTGATAGGAGAAATTCATTCACAGATGGACAGAATAATGACTTTCAATTTTGATCGTGATAATTTAATTCAATTTACGAGCGCCAGAGATACCGGACAAGGGATATGTGACCTGATTACGTCAAAAAAAATTCTCGTTTCAGCTATACGAAATTTGATGCAGTAGCATTGGCTGAACGAGATCACTAGAAAATGGAAGCGGAAGTTGGGCAAGCATCAAGCACCGATGATTCCAGCAGTACAATTCGTCTCAAACGGCAGATCTCGCTTTTCAATGGTTGTGCTATAATTATTGGCGTTATTGTTGGTTCTGGGATATTTGTCAGTCCAAAAGGTTCCAGTTTTTTCAATAACACTTTCTTTATTATCACTTTTTCT